TGTCTGTGAATGTGTGTGTGTGTCTGTGAGTGTGTGTGTGTCTGTGTTTGTGTGTGTGTCTGTGAGTGTGTGTGTGTATGTGAGAGTGTGTGTGTGTGTGTGTGTGTGTGTGTGTGTGTGTGTGTGTGTGTGTGTGTGTGTGTGTGTGTGTGTCTGTGTGTGTGTGTGTGTGTGTGTGTGTGTCGTTTGTGTTTCTGGAATCTTCTCCCTGTTATTTGTATTTAAGCAGATTCATTCATATTTTAACTCTCAGGATTTGTAACTTTGTAAAACTGTTTTTTGTGTGTTTGTTGTGTTTTCAGTCTTTCTTTGGTCGAGTTTGTGTGATTTTGTCTCACCTGAGATTTTTACATTTTGTACGTTTGTAGATTTTCCTCAATAAAAAACGGTCTGCTGATCTCAGCTGTCATCAATATCTCCACATTGTGTTTGTTTCTGATTTAAAGGTTTCTTTCCTCTTGCCCTCCCCTTCTACCCTCCCCTCCTCCTCCCCTCCTGTCCTCCCCTTCTGCCCTCCCCTCCTGTCCTCCTCTCCTGTCCTCCCCTTCTGCCCTCCCCTCCTCCTCCCCTCCTGTCCTCCCCTTCTGCCCTCCCCTCCTCCTCCTCCTGTCCTCCCTCCTGTCCTCCCTCCTGTCCTCCTGCCCTCCCTCCTGTCCTCCCCTCCTCCTCCCTCCTGTCCTCCCTCCTGTCCTCCTGCCCTCCCTCCTGTCCTCCTCCCCTCCTGTCCTCCCCTCCTGTCCTCCTGCCCTCCCTCCTGTCTTCCTGCCCTCCCTTCTGCCCTCCCTCCTGTCCTCCTGCCTCCCCTCCTGCCCTCCCCTCCTGTCTTCCCTGCCCTCCCCTTCTGCCCTCCCCTCCTGTCCTCCTCCTCCTCCGCTCCTGTCCTCCCTCCTGTCCTCCTGCCCTCCCCTCCTGTCCGCCCCTCCTCCTCCCCTCTGTCCTCCTGCCCTCCCTTCTGCCCTCCCCTCCTGTCCTCCTGCCCTCCCCTCCTGCCCTCCCTCCTGTCTTCCTGCCCTCCCCTCCTGTCCTCCCTCCTGTCCTCCCCCTGTCCTCCTGCCCTCCCTCCTGTCCTCCCCTCCTGTCTTCCTGCCCTCCCTCCTGCCCTCCCTCCTGTCCTCCCTCCTCCTCCCTCCTGTCCTCCCCTCCTGTCTTCCTGCCCTCCCCTCCTGTCCTCCCTCCTGTCCTCCCTCCTGTCCTCCTGCCCTCCCTCCTGTCCTCCCCTCCTGTCTTCCTGCCCTCCCTCCTGCCCTCCCTCCTGTCCTCCCCTCCTCCTCCTCCTGTCCTCCCCTCCTGTCTTCCTGCCCTCCCCTCCTGTCCTCCCCTCCTCCTCCCCTCCTGTCCTCCCCTCCTGTCTTCCTGCCTCTCCCCTCCTGCCCTCCCTCCTGTCCTCCCTCCTCCTCCCTCCTCTCCTCCCCTCCTGTCTTCCTGTCCTCCCTCCTGCCCTCCCCTCCTGTCCTCCCTCCCCTCCTGTCCTCCCCTCCTGCCCTCCCTCCTCCTCCCTCCTGCCCTGCCCTCCCCTCCTGCCCTCCCTCCTGTCTTCCTGCCCTCCCCTCCTGTCCTCCCCTCCTGTCCTCCTGTCTTCCTGCCCTCCCTCCTGTCCTCCCTCCTGCCCTCCCCTCCTGTCCTCCTGCCTCCCCTCCTGCCCTCCCTCCTGTCCTCCTGTCCTCCCTCCTGTCCTCCCTCCTGTCTTCCTGCCCTCCCCTCCTCCCCTCCTGCCCTCCCTCCTTTCCTCCCCTCCTGCCTCCCCTCCTGTCCTCCTGTCTTCCTGCCCTCCCCTCCTGCCCTCCCTCCTGTCCTCCCTCCTGTCCTCCCCTCCTGCCTCCTCCTGTCCTCCTGTCTTCCTGCCCTCCCTCCTGCCTCCCCTCCTCCCTCCTGCCTCCCTCCTCCCTCCTGCCCTCCCCTCCTGTCTTCCTGCCTCCCTCCTGCCTCCCCTCCTGTCCTCCTGTCTTCCTGCCCTCCCCTCCTGTCCTCCCTCCTGTCCTCCCTCCTGCCCTCCCCCTCCTGTCCTCCTGTCTTCCTGCCTCCTCCTGCCCTCCCTCCTCCCTCCTGCCCTCCCCTCCTGTCTTCCTGCCCTCCCCTCCTGCCCTCCCTCCTGTCCTCCTGTCTTCCTGCCTCCCTCCTGTCCTCCTGTCCTCCTGTCTTCCTGCCCTCCCCTCCTGTCTTCCTGCCCTCCCCTCCTGCCCTCCCCTCCTGTCCTCCTGTCTTCCTGCCCTCCCCTCCTGTCCTCCCCTCCTGTCTTCCTGCCCTCCCCTCCTGCCTCCCCTCCTGTCCTCCCCTCCTCCTCCCCTCCTGTCCTCCCCTCCTGTCTTCCTGCCTCCCCTCCTGTCCTCCCTCCTCCTCCCCTCCTCCTCCCCTCCTGTCCTCCTGTCTTCCTGCCCTCCCCTTCTGCCCTCCCTCCTGTCCTCCCCTCCTGTCCTCCCCTCCTGTCTCCTGCCCTCCCCTCCTGTCCTCCCCTCCTGTCTTCCTGCCTCCCTCCTGCCCTCCCTCCTGTCCTCCCCTCCTCCCCTGTCCCCTCCTGTCTTCCTGCCTCCCTCCTGTCCTCCCTCCTGCCCTCCTCCTGTCCTCCCTCCTGTCTTCCTGCCCTCCCCTCCTGTCCTCCTCCTCCTCCCTCCTCTCCTCCTCCTGTCTTCCTGTCCTCCCTCTCCTGCCCTCCCCTCCTGCTCCTCCCCTCCTGTCCTCCCCCTCCTGCCTCCCCCCTGCCCTCCCTCCTCTCCCCTCCTCTCCTGCCCTCCCCTCCTGCCCTCCCCTCCTGTCTCCTGCCCTCCCCTCCTGTCCTCCCCTCCTGCCCTCCCCTCCTGTCCTCCTGCCCTCCCCTCCTGTCCTCCCTCCTGTCCTCCCCTCCTGTCTTCCTGCCCTCCCCTCCTCCCCTCCTGCCCTCCCCTCCTTTCCTCCCCTCCTGTCCTCCTGTCTTCCTGCCCTCCCCTCCTGCCCTCCCCTCCTGTCCTCCCCTCCTGTCCTCCCCTCCTGTCCTCCTGTCTTCCTGCCCTCCCCTGCCTCCCCCCTCCCCTCCCCTCCTGTCCCTGCCCTCCCCTCCTGTCTTCCTGCCCTCCCTCCTGCCCTCCCCTCCTGTCCTCCTGTCTTCCTGCCCTCCCCTCCTGTCCTCCCCTCCTGTCCTCCCCTCCTGCCCTCCCCTCCTGTCCTCCTGTCTTCCTGCCCTCCCCTCCTGCCCTCCCTCCTGTCCTCCTGTCTTCCTGCCCTCCCCTCCTGTCCTCCTGCCCTCCCTCCTGTCCTCCTGCCCTCCCCTCCTGTCCTCCTGTCCTGGCTCTTCTGCTGTCAGCACCTTTAACACAGGATGAACCTCATGAATTCGTTTTGTTGCCAAGCTGAAGGATGAAAGACAGTACAAAGCGTAGAATAAGAAACAGACGTCTGCTGTGACTGTTGTTCTCTCTAATGCTGCGTCTCCAGGATGACGTGTCCATCACTCAGAGGGTTGGACGTTGTTTGTTTCTGTCAGTCTTCAGCATTTAGGACGACGCGTTTGATTCGTTCGGTTTCCTCTTCACACATTCAAGGCGCCAGTGAAAGCTCGTGGGTCCTCTGCAGCGGAGGACGCCGCCCGGCCGTCTGTGACGGCGATCATTAATGTGCGTATGTACTTGTGTGTTATTTTGTGTGTACTGGCTGCTGTCAGGTTTTTCCTGGTTAAAATAAATCAGGTAAAAGTTTTACTGTAATTTGGCATCCTGCTGATGTTACAGCGATGCTGTGCAGCACACCCCGAGGCCTGAACGCTGCTACGAGTTTGGGGGAAAAATATTCCTGCTTCTCTGAAAACATCAAAATCAATCTGAGCAGCGAAGCTACCAAAGAGCAGCTTAATATTTACACTTCCACATGATCACCTGCTGTTTCACGATGAATATAAAAACTGCAGATCAGTGTTAGTTCATAAACCGGGTTTGATAAGTGATTAAATTGTGTCCTTTAATCAAATTAAGACGAGCTGCTGATGTAAAAGCTCTCACATATTTGTGAATGAGTTTCATTTAAAAGCTCTTATTGTTGTTTTAAAATGCTACAGTCTTTGTGGGCTTTGCGTCTGCGGTCGGCTCCAGTGCGCTCGAGTTATTTTGAAACGATTACGGAGGAAACTGTTAAGAAATGAGTCATGGCAAAAATTCAGGTGGGTGCTGCGCTGCGGTCTGCACACTTACACCTGAAGGAAAACCAACGTGATGAGCTCAGTGTGACAGTTTCATGCAACTCATTGATTTATAAGAATATGAGCTGAACTCATCCTGAAACAGTCCTTTCATAATTTTTGGATTTAAGACAAAACAGACGAATAATTAAAAAAGATTTTAAAAAAACTTCTGAAAACATTTTTCAAAGATGAATTAATTAGAAGCTAAATTACAAAAGGATTCATTTAAATATTTAACACGATGCTCATATTTAGGTTTGAATTTCAGTTTGTTTCTGTGTTTAATTATTACATATATATAATATAATTATAAAGCACAAACTGAATCACATTAAAGACGAAACGACTCCATAAATCTAATCAGATGCAGAAAAAAGGTCATTTTGTAAATGAAGAACAGATTTTTATTGGTTAAACCTGGACGTTTGTTTTGGTTGGATGGTTGTGAGAGGACGCCGCTCGCGTGCGCTGCTCTGGATTTAATCAAAGCGTCAGTTTTACAGCAGCTCAGTGAACGCGGCGCCGTCCTCTGCACTTTATTTAAAGATCAATAACAGCTGGATGACGGCTCGTTAAACGTGTGGTGGATTTGAACTGAAACCTGGATAATGTTGTTAGAAATGCGAGCGAGGTGACACGAGCGCGTGAACGGGCCGCTGAGGCCGCGGCTCGTTAAATCAGCAGCTCGTTATCTGCGTGTGAAGAAGAGCAGGCGGGTTAATAAAACTAGGCTTTAATGATACGTGAGGATTACAAACATCTGATCAACATAGAAAAACTGTCTCAAATTCAACCTTCCTGTTAACAAATCAGTCTGCCCCGCCCCCCGGGGGCCGCGCAGACCCGTGGAGGCGCTCTACACGTTCGCCGTGCCTCTGCTGTGCTCGTGTGGCTCCAACTGGCTCTGGCAGCGCAGCCGGCGGTCTCGGGCCGCCGTCTGCAGTAATCCGTTTAACGACGAGGCGCCGCTGTGCAGGGGCCCCGGGGGGCCGTAGGCGGAGTATCCGGGGATGAAGGGGGAGGCGTAATAGAAGTGTCGGGGCAAGGCGGGGCCGTGGGGGAACGGGGTCCGTTGCTGTCCCGCCCCACGCTCTGTGCAGAGTCACTACATCCTTGCTTTTGTCCGAAGACGTGGCGATCTCAGCCAGCGACCAGAGTTTGGGTTTGGGGCCACGTTCGGCCCCTGGGTGTGCCGCAGGGGCGCTCCTTAGACCGCGGGCTCGGCGTGCGCGTCCCCTCCAGCACTCTGAGCGAGACGCTCAGAGTGGGGGCGCTCCGAGGAGGGTCCGCCGACATGTCCACGGGTCTCCGGTCCACGGGGGAATCCTTAAAGTCCAGCTCGTCGAATCCTCGATCGGCGTCGCTGCCGCCGTCCTCTCTGAACGCCAAACTGCGGGAATCTGGGGGGGAGGTGGGACAGGCCAGGTCAGACCAAACACACATCAGGGTTCAGCGTGCAGGGTTATGAGTTTGATTCAAACACACACAAACAAAATGCACTGCATATTAGACCCGCCCCCTCACATCTGCCTTATGGTCACAGTTTCCGCAGCCCAAACAAAATCAGCAGCCAATCAGCAGCTGCTCTCCGACCAATAAATCGACTTTAAAGAAGAAAGAAAAGAGTTCAGCCTGAAAGTGTTTGATTCGTCCAGATCAATGACATCATCAGTGGAGAAATAATCAATCAGAAGAACGTCGCCGCGACCGTCTCCACGCTTCAGCATCATTTAAACGCACTCAGCTCCCAACATCTTCTCCCGCTTCTCTCGCCGTGCGCCTGCCGCTCTTCACTTTTTAAAAAACGGGTCCAGAACATTCTTTGATTTTAACCGATGATCTGATGAAATGATGAAAATCTGAAGCTGATCAATAATCTGATCTATGAACAAACAGGAGCAGTAACAACGACAGACCTGATCAGGACGAGCCGCTCGCTCTGCTCACACTCAGAACTAAAACCAACCTCATGAAACTGTTTCCACTGCAGCTGCTGCGATGATGTCATCACCTACAAGAACGGACGGAGAGGAGCGCCGGCAAACGTCTCCGGGTTCCCGACGCGTGTCACGTGCAGGTCATTTTAAAACCCATCAATTAATCGATCAATCAATGGATGGACCCCTCCCCCCTCACTCACCAGCTTCACGCTTCGGCTCCGTCTCCTCGCTGCTCGCCTTCAGTGGCTCCTCGTCCTCTTCGTTGCGTTCCAGGTCGATGTTGTCCTCCTCTTCCTCGTCCTCGCTCCTGTTCCGTGGCGTCCACGTCATCTTGTTCTCCTTCTTCAGCCGGCGCCGGGCGTTGGCGAACCAGGTGGACACCTGCGTCAGGGTCATCTTCGTGATGATGGCCAGCATGATCTTCTCGCCCTTGGTGGGGTAAGGGTTCTTCCGGTGCTCGCTAAGCCAGCCTTCAGCGTGGCCGTGGCATCCGTGTGGCGTTCTTCCTGTAGGCGGGGTCTCATACGGATATGGGCCCAGCGCCCAAACGGTGGTAGTCCAAGGACCCGGAGATGCCGAGGACGGTCGTAACCCGGACTCTGAAACAGAAACATCATGTTAGTGGTCAGCTCGAGTTCCCACGCAGTTTAACCCGAGGTCACATGACCACACGGCTTCAAACTACAGACCCAAACACAGAAGGAGGAAAGACCTCGCTCAGTTTAATCCACCTGAAAAATCTCACAGCCTCACAGAAATGTACAATGTTCCTCCTTCAATTTAAAATACATTTAAAAAAATAATTTAAAAAAATGAATTAAAGAATAAGTAAAAATATATATAAAATAAAAATGTAAAACAAAATAAGTTAAAAAAACCATTAAAAATAATTTACAATTTTTTTTAAAATAAAATAAATTAAAGAATAATTAAAACTAAATTTAAAATTTAATTAATAAATATAAATAATAATTAATTCAAAAATAAAAGACAAATAATTAAAAATTATTTTTATCTTATAAATAAGATTTTTAAAAAGATAAAAAAACAGATTAAAAATGAATTTTAAATAAATGTAATAATAAATTCAAAAATCATTGAAAATAAATGAGAAAAATAACTTTTTGAAGAGCAGATATTTTCATTGTACGGACCGGAACCAGACCCGGACCCGAGCCCTGGCCGTCTCCGCGCGCACTCACCACATAGGAGCTGAGCGCCGCGGCGGCGCGCGGCTCCCCTCCGTAGGGCAGCTGGGGGCCGAAGCCGGGGGAGGTCGCCGGTCCGGAGTACGGAGCGAAGGCGGAGCCGGACGCGGAGCGGCCGAGCTCCTCGAGCGCGCTCCCAGGAGGAGGCCGGAGCCGAAGGAGGAGTGCAGAGCCAGAGGCGCGTGGGGCTGGAACAGGAAGCCCTGAGGGTACGACATGACTTTTACGCGCGGGAGAAGTCGCGTCGGAGCGCGGGACGGAGGAGGGAAAACCGGGCGGAGAGGAGCGGGAGTTCCAGGAGCATCGCAGGAGGCTCGCGGCGGCACTTTGTCCGCTCCGGCTCTGCGCACCCGATCTGCGCCGAACCCGCAGACAGACTGAGCGGAGAGGAGGCTCAGCTCCACCTCCGCACGCTCACACCTCCTCCTGCTCGCTCTCTCCTCTCCCCTCAGCCCGCGCGCACTCTGCGAGCAGGTGGAACTAACGCGACCCTACAAAATAAAAGCACCAGGATAATAAGGCTTCACGTTCCTCACACCTGCAGAGTTTCTGACTGTTTGTGCACGAAACACGTCATCAAAGTGCGCCGTGGACCAACATGTAGTTTATGAAATATTCCAAATGATTCGTGACAAACAAATATTACTCCACTCTTTAGCTCCTTTGGTTTGACTTAGCCAATAAAAACTTTGGGTTTAGGTTTAGCCAATAAAAATGCTTGGTTAGGTTCTTGGTTTAAATAACTCCCAGCAGGACACAAACATGAGTTGATGTGTGTTCGGAGCTCAGAGGGTTTAAACCTGCATTACACCTGCCGGCCACCAGATGGCGATAGCAGTGGTTTCAAAGTGACTGTAGCTTTGCAGAGGTTTCTCATGTGACGTCACGCACACATTGGATTGGACGTGATACGACCTGCATTCACTTTGGTTGTTAGCAGGTTGCTGCGTTCACTTGTAGCTTGCACTGAAGACGACGATACGTCTGCAAACGCTCACAAGAGCTCGCTGAGTGGGATTAAAACTTGAAAATGTGAGCTCCAAACAGGAAATAGAAATAATTCACCCTCAGAGTTCAGAGTTGAACGACTTTTGCTTTAAAGGCAAATGATTATAATTTCATTTTTAGTAGTTGGCAGGTGTTTGCAGACAAGTTGGCATCTTCCATACAAACTATAGCAAAGAGAGGTTATCCTGCTGTGTTTCAGGAGGAAGGATTATGCTCATTGGCTAAAACATGTGATTAGCTGGTCATTAGCCAATGAGTGTGCGGTTCAACAGCTCTGGTTAAAAAAAAAACGCTCATGCTGAGGTTTTGAAACGTAAGTAGATGACGTATCAGATGCTACATCACAATTAACAGCCACAGGGGTCAGTAGGAACAACTTTAACTTCTACACAGAGGAAAAATCATCAGAGGGGCGGGGTTTGAGTGTAAAAGTTACATTCCTTCATTCATTTTCAGTTTAATTGATTACTTCCTGTGGAAATGTCATCAGTTCTAATTGTGTGACTTAAGAAGCGTTCAGGACGTGATGTCACTTCAGGTGTTCGGGATTCCACTGATGCGTAACAGGTGACAGTGGTGAGCAGGACAGATGCCGTGACAGGCAGTACAATCCGGTGAAACATCAAACCAGGCCGTCCCGCTCTCGCGTATTTTGGCGTTCTCTGCTGAACAGTGTTGAATTATGAACTTGGTGGCGATCAATCTGCGGACTGATTGGTGTGCGTGTGGGAGAGCGTGGACAGCTGTGGCTGATGCTGAGTGTCCTGAGAGCAGCTCAGTGAACTTTGAGGATCTAAGCCCACACCGCCTCCGCCTAATCTGATTAGTGGGGACTATAATTAGCAGAGTGCCAGCAAGGAGAATACTTCCCGCGTCAGTGGAAGTCCGGTCGCTGCTTTTCGGTGAAACCAGCTGAAGTCCATCTCTAATGGCCACGTCCACGGATTTTCAGAACGAGGCTGCAGGAATTTCCACGTTTGCAGGTAGGAGCACAGCGAGGAAGCCGAGTTCGGTGCATTAACTGATTAGATTAGATTAGATAGAACTTTATTAATCCCTCGGGTGGGTTCCTCTGGGAAATTCGATTTCCAAAAAAGCACAGCACCGACAGAAGTTACAGAGTTACAGAATATTATATATATATATATATTATATATATATAATATATATATATATATATATATATATATATAATATATATATATATATATAATACACACACACACACACACACATATATATAAATACAGAGACAATATAAATAAAATATACGAAGGGGATAAATAGAATAAATAGGAATAAAAATAAAAATACAAGTGAATTGCACATTTCAAGTATGGAGTCTATTGCACTGTTGACTATTTACAAAAGTATTGCACAAAAGGTATTGCACAGTGAGGTGAAGAGGCACTACAGCTTAGTTGTTCCCCCCTCCTTTGTCCTCCTGTTTCTCCTCCCTCTCCCCTCCAGGGAGGAGTTAAACAGTCTGATGGCGTGTGGGACAAAGGAGTTTTTAAGTCTGTTAGTTCTTGTCTTGGGGAGAAGCAACCTGTCACTGAACAGACTCTTCTGGTTGTTTATGGCCGTGTGCAGAGGATGTCTGGCATTGTCCATAATGTCCATCAGTTTCTTTAATGTCTTTAATGTTTCTTTAATGTCAACTGCTGTTGATCCCAACACTCCACAGGCCATTTCAGGAGGCACGCCGTCACAGGTTCTCTCTCACAAACGTCATCCTGTTTGGAAATCATACTTTGAGATGTAAACAATAGTTACTACTACGAATATTGATTTGCTGCAGTGAATCCTGGGTAAAGTGAGCAGCCTCTCTCCGGCTGCACTGAGGGGGAAACAATGCGAGTCGGCTGATCCTCTGCAGAGGCTAAGCAGTTTAACAGAGACGTTTTCATGCTTTTTTAAGCATCTTTCATTAAAGCCCTCTGCACCGGCTGAGGTGCGCGCCTCTCCTCCTCCGCCTCCTCCTCGGGTGCTGATGATGCTCAGGAGGGCGAGCCACCGAGGCTTCCTGCTGGATGGAGTAATGACTCGGAAAAGCTCTTTCATCATCTCCACGGCGAGCCCCCCAGCAGGCCCGCCCCTGGAATGACACTGTTCTGCTGTTTTATCATATCAAAAAGTTATGTTCACAATTTGCACGAACAAAGTCGAACACTGAGGGAAGTGTGGCGGCGGCGTTTCCCCCGTATTCTCAGTGGCACGACTCTTTTGTGAAGATTTTCACATGAAAGGAGCGCTCGTTTGTTTCCTCCAGCAGCTCCCGAATGAGCTCAGCCCGCAGGGCAATGTCCAGAGGTTACTTAAAGACTGTGTGTTTAATTAATTGGAAAACACTCGTTTTAATAGTTATTATTCAAGTATGAAATGCAATCCTTGTAATCTGTGTGCACACATAATTAGCACCCATGAGATTTCAGCATGCAGTGCTTCAGAGAGGAGACGGTCACATCAACCGGTGCACATCCTCATTCATGGTTGTTTACACGCTGATCAATGAGCATGTAATCAGATGAGAGGCAGAATTTAAGAGTGCAGCGGCAAGTCCATCGGCAGGAAATCAGTCTGCACTCAGGTCTGATCCTCTCACGGCTGTCTGACGATGTGCTGGATATCCGGGCTCAGACCGAAGCTGTTTGCATTACAGAAAACCTCTACAAACCAGGTGTGAGGGGACAGGTATGAGGGGGGACAGGTGTGACAGAGGACAGGTGTGAGGGAGACAGGTGGAAAGAGAACAGGATGAGGGACAGGTGTGAGAGAGGACAGGTGTGAGGGAGGACAGGTGTGAGGGTACAGGTGTGAGAGAGGACAGGTGTGAGTGGGACAGGTGTAAAGAGAACAGGTGTGAGGGATAGGTGTGAGAGGACAGGTGTGAAAGAGAACAGGTGTGAGAGAGGACAGAGCTGAGTGGGGACAGGTGTGAGAGGACAGGTGTGAGGGGAAACAGGTGTGAAAGAGAACAGGTGTGAGAGAGGACAGGTGTGAGAGAGGACAGGTGTGAGTGGGGACAGGGTTAGGGGACGGTGTGAGTGGGGACAGGTGTGAGAGACAGGTGTGAGGAACACAGGTGTGAAAGAGAACAGGTGTGAGAGAGGAAGGTGTGAGTGGGACAGGGTTAGGGGACGGTGTGAGTGGGGACAGTGTTGAGAGAGGACAGTTTGAGGAGGACAGGTGTGAGGGACAGGTGTGAGGAGACACAGGTGTGAAGAGAACAGGTGTGAGAGAGAACAGGTGTGAGAGAGAAAGGTGTGAGAGAGGACAGGTGTGAGAGAGGACAGGTGTGAGAGAGAACAGGTGTGAGGGAGGACAGGTGTGAAGGTACAGGTGTGAGAGAGGACAGGTGTGAGTGGGGACAGGTGTGAGAGGAAGGGTGAGGGGAGACAGGTGTGAAAGAGAACAGGTGTGAGGGACAGGTGTGAGAGAGGACAGGTGTGAAAGAGAACAGGTGTGAAAGAGAACAGGTGTGAGAGAGAACAGGTGTGAGAGAGACAGGTGTGAGAGAGGACAGGTGTGAGAGAGACAGGTCTGAGAGGATAGATGTGAGAAGGGCAGGTCTGATAGGGAACAGGTGTGAGAGGACAGGTGTGAGAGAGAACCTGTGTGAGAGAGGACAGGTGTGAGAGAGAACACGTGTGAGAGGGACAGGTTTGAAAAAGAAAGTGTGAGAGGGGACAGGTCTGAGAGGGGACAGGTGTGAGGGGGGAAAGGTCTGAGAGGTACAGGTGTGAGAGGAACGTGTGAGTGGGGACAGGTGTAGGGGACAGGTGTGAGGGGAAAGGTGAAGAGGGGACAGGTGTGAGAGAGGACAGGTGTGAGGGGACAGGTTTGAGAGGACAGGTGTGAGGGGGGACAGGTGTGAGAGGTCAGTGTGAGGGGGGACAGGTGTGAGAGGGGACATGTGTGAGAGGACAGGTGTGAGGGGGGACAGGTGTGAGAGGGGACAGGTGTGAGGGGGAACAGGTGTGAGAGGACAGGTGTGAGAGGACAGGTGTTAGAGGACAGGTGTGAGGGGGGACAGGTGTGAGGGGACAGGTGTGAGGGGGAACAGGTGTGAGGGGACAGGTGTGAGAGGACAGGTGTTAGAGGACAGGTGTGAGAGAGAACAGGTGTGAGTGGGGACAGGTGTGAGTGGGGACAGGTGTGAAAGAGAACAGGTGTGAGGGGATAGGTGTGACGGGGGACAGATGTGAGA